ACTAAAAAAATAGCTGGGCGTCGTGGCAGGTGCCTGTGGTCCCAGCTACTTGGGAGGCTGAGGCAGGAGACTCGCTTGACCCCAGGAGTTGGAGGTTGCTGTGAGCTGGGATGCCACGGCACTCTACTCAGGGGGATAGCTTGAGGCTCTGTCTCAAAAATAAATAAATAAAAAATAATGATAAAAATTAAAGAGATGAGAGAATTACAATTTCCTTTCTTTCTTTTACAGAAATATTATTTTTTGTATAGACACAAAATCATGCTGTATAGACAATGTAATGTTTTACTTCTTTTTTTCTTTTTTTTCGAGACAGTCTTTTGCTTTGTCGCCCTCAGTAGAGTTATGTGACATCATAGCCACACTACCCCACCCCATGCCTTTGGCCAGACCAATGTACAGTTTCCTGATTCATCCTCGCCCTAAACCCCAGCTTTGCCTCCTCCAATCCACAGGCAGATCCATCTAGGGACACCCCCTACATGCTAATTCAGCGGGTTTACTCCACATTCCCAAACCCATCCATGTGTCCCCACTCCCTGTCTTAGGCAAGCTGATTTTTCTACCTGAAACCTTCCTCTCCCTTGACTTTCAGCAAATCCTATTCTCTGAGCCTTTAGGACGCTTTGGTTAACCTGCAAAACAAAACTATTATTTTCTTAAAGAAAGAGGCTATGTTGGGAGATTTGAAACAATATGGGGGGCGGCACCTGTGGCTCAAAAGGGTAGGGCGCTGGTCCCATATGCTGGAGGTGGCGGGTTCAAACCCAGCCCCGGCAAAATATGGCAAATAAACAAATAAAAGTTAAAAAAAAATTTTTTTAAAAAAGAAACAATATGGGAAAAAATATGCACGATTGAACACTAAATTAAAAAGTCAAGATAAAGGAAGGCACCTGTGGCTCAAGGAGTAAGGTGCTGCCCCCACATACCAGACGTGGTGGGTTCAAACCCAGCTCTGGGCTCGGCGCCTGTGGCTCAAGTGGCTAAGGCACCAGCCACATACACCTTAAGGTGGCGGGTTCGAATCCAGCCCGGACCCACCAAACAACGATGGCTGCAACCAAAGAATAGCCAGGCGTTGTGGCGGGTGCCTGTGGTCCCAGCTACTTGGGAGGTGGAGGCAGGAGACTCACTTGAGCTCAGGAGTTGGAGGTTGCTGTGAGCTGGGATGCCACAGCACTCTACCCAGGGGGACAGCTTGAGGCTCTGTCTCAAAAGAAAAAAAAAAAAAAAAAACCAGCTCTGGCTAAAAACTGAAAAAAAAAAAGTGAAGATGCAAAATTGGAAATGCAATATGAACATCCCCTTTGTCTTGGGAAGTGTACAGAAAACCTACAAAGGAATAATATACATACTGAATCTCTTTGGGGCTATAGGGGTCTACACTGGGAGGAAGGGAGTTCAGTAGATTTATTTCCACATATCTATAGTCACAAAATTTCTTGTCCTGTTTTATAATTTTTTCCCAAATAAGACTGTATCACTTTCTGTCAAACTATCTTGCAAATCTAACCTTCCTTTCCCCTAGAGACCTGCAGCTGTGGTAGAAAGGGAGAAATCTGGAAGTGGCCTGAGTGTATCCAAAGGGGTGGGGGGGGGGTGTATCCAAAAAGTGGTTCCGTGGGGACGGAGTTTTGTGCATTGCCCCAAAACTACTACTTTTCAACCTAAACTATAGGATCTGGATAAATAGCTTATTCTGGAATGGTGAGAAGAAAGACCAAAAGAAAAAAAATCACAAGACCCAGCATCTAGGAAGATCACTGTGCTTGTGGGACCGGACGGGACCATCTCTTGCACTGGTCAGCAAGTGCAGAGATGAGGCAGGTCTTTTTTTGTTATTGTTGGTAAGCAGGCCCGGGCCGGGTTCAAACCCCCCACCCCTCATACACAGGACCAGTGCTCTAATCACTGAGCTATAGGCGCCCAGCCAATCAGGCCGGAAAGGCAGCCCAGAGGAAAGGGGGATGTGGGACATGAGTGCTGCCCACTCCCCTAACACCACGGTACTTTACTGCCCCCTACTGTGACGGGTTGTCTAAATTTCTCTTGCAGTCATACAGACTTCCTAAAGAAAGTGAAAACTGGCTCGGCGCCTGTGGCTTAAGTGGCTAAGGCACCAGCCACACACACCTAAGGTGGCGAGTTCGAATCCAGCCCGGGCCCACCAAGCAACAATGATGGCTGCAACCAAAAAATAGCCAGGCATTGTGGAGGGCGCCTGTGGTCCCAGTTACTTGGGAGGCAGAGGCAGGAAACTCACTTGAGCCCAGGAGTTGGAGGTTGCTGTGAGCTGTGGTGCCAGAGCACTCTGCCCAGGGGGACAGCTTGAGGCTCTGTCTCAAAAAAAAAAAAAAGAAAAGAAAGTGAAAACCAAAGCCTGGCTTACTATATATATTTTGTTTATTAAAAAAAAAAGGCCAGGAAAGGTGGCTCATGCCTTAATCCCAGCACTCTGGAAGGCTGAGGCGGGTGGATCACCTAAGCTCATGAGTTCAAGACCAGTTTGGGCTACAGCAAGACCCTATCTCTAAAAAAACAGCTGGGCGTTGTGGCAGGCACCTGTAGTCCCAGCTACTTAAGAGGCTGAGGTAAGAGAATCACTTGAGCCCAAGAGTCTGAAGTTACTGTGAGTCATGACACCACAGCACTCTACCGGGGGCAACAAAATGAGAAACTGACTCAAAACAAAAACAAACAAAAAAAAGATAGAGGGCAAACAGTGGAAAATATTTAAAATCTAAGGACTCTTAAGCAATCCCATACCCAGCATTCACATTTCCTAAACCAAAGAGATGGATATACACAGACTGTGGAAAGAGAAAAACCGACACCCACTCCAGCAAAACTCCAAGTTAGCTGATACGTGAGGGGAAGTAGGACTCTAAGTGAAAAATAAATTGATTCTTGGCTGGGTTGAATATAAATTATCTCCAAGAACACCGGGGTGGGAAGTTTCAACTAGCTCCAAACTAAAGGGTTATGTTTATTTCCAATGAGTCATGATTAAAGTGGAGAAGCCAGTGTATCTGGAAGCCAACGTTACCAAAGCATCTCCAGGGATAAACGGTGGACTGAAATGCCTCTAAATGGCACCTGGTGTAAGAGAAATGGGAGATTAAGTAGAGGAGACTAAGGATGTGCCTAAACATGAATAAATCCCTATGGTTTCTTTATACTTGGCAATGAAATTGTTAGGTCTAATTTAACAGGTTTCTTCCATTGAAACCTCTACCCTCCTGCTTCAAGGAACTCTCCATGTTCTCTGTCCCAACCATCTCACTTTTTTCGTCTCAGTCTCCAGAACTCTGAGAAACACCTCATTTTTACCATCCAGCCATGTCTCTCCATCTTCTCTCTTGATCTCTACAAATTCCCTCCCAATAAAAAGAGCCTTACATATCAGCACAGCCTGTCTTTGGGGGGACTCTGGTTCAAAGATCAATCAAGGACTGGCTCCAGGCATACGTATTCTCACCTGAAGACCCCAACCAGGGCTCAGAGATAGAAAACTTTTTAGACAATTTTCTTTCTAAGAAAGAGACAGAGTCTCAAGCTGTCACCCTGGGTAGAGTGCCGTTACATCATAGCTCACAGTACCTGGGCTAAAGTGCTACTCTTGCCTCAGTTTTTCTATTTTTAGTAGAGATGGGGGTCTTGCTTTTGGTCAGGCTGGTCTCGAACTCACGAGCTCAGGCAATCCACCTGCCTCTGCCTCCCAGAGTGCTGAGATTATGGGCATGAGCCACCACCCAGACTAACCAATTTTCTTTCTCATCAGTACTTTGCCATTCCACCTCTACAAAATGACTATTACCCCAGTCTCAACCATTTTCAAGATAAAATCAGCTCCATGATGCAGTCAGAATGTTCTTCTCCCAACCCAGTTTTTTTTTTTTTTTTTT